CATTCCTTGAGGGGGCACCCTGGAGTCCTGTGAGTGTGGGGCCCCCACCACGGGAAAACACAACAGCATTGACATGGCTCTTGAAGAACTTCAGGATGGCAGTGTCACAAGAAAGCCTGCTAACCCACAATGTCTGGTGTGCCTTGTCTAATATATACACAGGATCCTCCAAGCATCCAAAGTACATCTTACAAGGATGTTAAACGGCATTCATCAAGGGAAGCCTAGGTCTGAGTGATGAATGACGAGCCAGTGTGCTGAAGCCATGTACATTTAATTGTCCGTGCTCTTTGAGAATCCTTAGTGGGGGCTGAGGCGCCTGGGTGGCTCAGCAGGTTAAGTGTCTGACTTCTGCTCAGGTCATGATCTCACGGTTCATGGGTTCGAGCCCTGTGTCAGGCTCTGTGCTGACAGCCAGCTCAGAGCCTGGATCTTGCTTCAGATTCTGGGTCTCCCTCTCTCTCTGACCCTCCCCTGCTCACGCTGTCTCTCTCTCTCTCAGAAGTAAATTTAAAATAAATTTTATTTTATTTTTTTGAAATAAATTTTTAAAAAAAGAATCCTTAGTGGAGGGAATAGTATCTGAAGACGTGTTGCAGTGAATGGATACAAGAGCAGTGAATCCAGGGTGTTTCTCACTTAGACTGGTTGTTGGTTTATATTCACAGCTCACTTATGTGGTCTTCACCATGCAGCTGGCCGTGTTCTCACAGCTTACATATAGGAATAGGTTCCTCACCTGCAAAACAATGCCAGGAGCAGAGTCTGGAACAATCCTAAGCTTACAGAAGGGGAGACCTGGACACAGAGAGGCTAATAGCCGTGCCCAGCATCACACAGCAAGGGCACCGCAGAGCTGGGATTGGAAGTCCAGGGTTGTGTGCCAATGTCGAGAAAAAGGATAGTGAGGTTAAAGCAGATCCTACTATGCAAGCCACAGAACCAGGAACCACTTTTACTTAAAGTACGCTCTACGCCCGGGGTGGGGCTCAAACTCATAACCCTGAGATCCAGAGTCACATGCTATACTGACTGAGTCAGCCAGGTGCACCTAGGAAATGCATTTTTTAAAAAAAATGTTTTTATTTATTTTTGAGAGAAAAAGAGAAAGACAGAACCCATGTAGGGGAGGGGCAGAGAGAGCGAGGGAAACATAGAATCCGAAGCAGGTTCCAGGCTCTGAGCTGTCAGCACAGAGCCCGACGCGGGGCTTGAACTCACAAACTGTGAGCTCATGACCTGAGCCAAAGCCGGACACTTAACCGACTGAGCCACCCCAATGCCTCAAGGAAACGCTTCTGAACACAGAAGAGAGGGTGTCTATGTAGGATGCTGGCCACTGCACCAGACCAACACCTACTGATAGCATACTACCATTAACTAGCCACGTCACCAACACACTAACAGCAAGTGAGACCCATGTGGAAAGTGGTGTGGCGTCCATTACGCAGAATGAAGCATCTTCTGAATGTAACGAGAACGCCCCACTGAACTGTGTATTCTCGCTACAGGACCTAGTCATTGGTACCCTGTGTCATTGGTCCTCTGTTATACATGAGCTCAGGACCCCATTGTGGTCAAAATATCTGTTACAGAGGTGAGAAAATCGCTCTTGCTTCAGTGTATAGTGGAATTTTAACAATAGAAAAAAATATATTTAAAAAACAGCAGTTTTCTAGCATATGGAGAAATCCAGGATGAAATGCTACCAAAATAAATTTGGAAGGCAGGACAAAATGTATCTGTTCACCATATAAGGTGACACTGCATGCTTCCTATTTTATCACATGCCTGGGATTCACTTTTCCTTTGAAACGACAGCTCTGAAGATGTCGATACCCAGGTTCCTGGGGAATAACGGAAGGGCGTCCGTGTCTTGTGAGCCTGTGTGCAAATCATGTGCAGTCCCACTGCTCGGAGTCGAGCAGATCCAACGCGGTCCAAAGAAACGGTGCAGAGACTAAGCGGTCTTTTTACAAGGACCTTTAAAACCCAGGTTAGAAAGTAAAAAGACACTCATTCCATACAGCATGCTAAACAAGCAAAGAATCAGAAAAATTAATTCTTAATTCTACACTTGTCGGAGCTCAGTAGCGATCCCTCGCGGCTCCCTGGTGAGGATGCCCGAGCTTTCCCGCCCGGCCTTTGAGTCAGTTCTGCATTGTACACCTGGGCAGGCCTGAGCCGAGGTGGCAATAATGGAATCCATGTGCACGGCTCTCAAAAACAACTGGGAAATATGGGCCCTTAAAATGAATTTGTTCCAGGAGCCTGCATCTCCTTGGGGTTTTAAACACAACGAGACTTGACTCGAATGCCAGGGTGGAAACGCCCTCCCTGATCTGCAGCGTTCGCAGCAAGAGCAGGCGAGCTTCCCGCGCGCCTCTGTCTGTCACCAGCATGGCCCTGCTGACCCCGACCCGGGACGGATTCTGAGTGGCTGCAGCGTGCATTGCCGAAAAGGCTTCTGAAGAAAATGTCATGCTTCAGAGGCCCCGGGGAAAAGAGGAGTTGACGTGGAGAATGCTAAGGATCCCCGTGTGCTTTTCAGAACTCCGCCCGAGAGCATAGCATAGGGATGCTCACAAATCCCGTCTGCAGCCTGGTGTGTGGGCCTGCCTGCCTGCCTTCATCTTTAAAAGGCAGGTGTGGGGGGCGCCTGGGTGGCTTAGTCGGTTAAGCGTCCAACTTTCGCTTAGGTCATGATCTCGTGGTTCGTGGGTTCGAGCCCCGCGTCGGGCTCTGTGCTGACTGCCAGCTCAGAGCCTGGAGCCTGTTTCAGTCTGTGACTCCGTCTCTCTCTGACCCTCCCCTGCTCACACTGTCTCTCTCTCTCTCCTAGAAATAAATAAAAACATTAAAAAAAAATTTTAAAGGCAGGTGTGCCGAACACCTGTGAGTTGACACAGGTGTGGTATGGCAGCTCTTATAGCATCAAGGAGCCCAAGCCTGGGGGCACCCTTACGTGGAGGAGAGCCCGTGACAGATTCAGTTACAGCACGTGCACGTTGCCCGCCCTGTGGTTCCCAGGTCTGCCCCTCCCCCAGACCACAGACAGGCTTGCCTTCCCTCGCACGTGCTTACCTGAGCTCAGGGGTGGCTGGGGGCTGATGCAGACCCTCGTGACAGACGTTCTAACTTGATTCTGGTGGCTTGTTTTGTGTTTGATCGGGGGTCACTAAATGCCTCGAAGTCACCATTGCAATGATATGTGCAAAATATGAAAGAGGGTTAATCAGATGGTGTGTCCTGCCTCGCAGCAGGAATGGCTCCGGGTTGGGGGGGTGGGGGTGGTTACCTAAAAACACCATAATGACAGTGCAAAACAAGACAATCTCATCCCAGGCCTCATTCCACTGGGAATACTTGCTAATTCTGTCTTTATCTGCTGTCTTCTTCACACACAAGAAGCTGTTTTCACAGTCCCGTCAGATGTTTCATGAGCGTTCAGCTCCTCAGGATAAACAATCAGGTCTTTCTAACTATTTGTAAATTAGGATTCTTTTTTCCTTAAAAAGATAGAATTTGCAGGTATGGTGGAACACTGACTTGATTTGAAAAGAACTTCAGTTTTAAACAGTATAACCATCCTGCTCTGGGGTCACTGAGGTCTAATTTGGAATTTTTTTAAGTTTATTTTTGAGAGAGAGAGCATGAGCACGGGAGGGGCAGAGAGAGAGAGAGAGAGAGAGAGAGAGAATCCCAATGACGCTCTGTGCTGTCAGTGCAGAGCCTAATGTAGGAGTCGATCCCACAAACCGTGAGATCATGACCTGAGCTGAATCAAGAGTCAGACACCCAACCGAGCCCCCCAGCTGCCCACTAATTTGGAATTTTTAACAGCTTTACTAAGAAATAACCTGTATGCCATGAAATTCAAGCTCAACGATTTTTAGTAAATATATGAAGCTCCGTACAGTTTGTCCAAATCTAATATCAGAATATTTCACTCTACTACCCATTTGTGGTCCCTCCCAATCCTCACTACCGGACACATTTAGTTCCTTTTATTTTTTCTTAAGTTTATTTACTTATTTTTGAGAAAGAAAAAGAAAGCAGAGGAGGGGCAGAGAGAGAAAGAGGGAATTCCAAGCTGACTCCACACTGATAGCACAGAGCAGGAAGCAGAGGCTTAAACCCATGAACCATGAGCTCATGACCTGAGCGCTGAAATCAAGAGTCGGACGCTTAACCAACTAAGGACACCCCGGGGTGGGGGGGGTGGGGGGACAAGGCTCATTTAATTCTTGACTTGATACGCTTAGGTTGTCTTAGAGAAAATAAGTTAACTGAGGTCTGAGCGTGTTTCAGATTATTTGCGACAGCTGTGTGCGTGAGCGCGTGTCTATGTGTGCAAGCACTTTTCTCTCATGTACGCATTAGCGGTGAGCCTACCTCTTCCAGAAGGTCCCGTCAGTTTTAAACAGAAAGACGGGCGGCAGGTTGAAAACATCAGAGACCACGGGTGGTAGAACTGGGAGCTTATCATCTGTTGGTGAGTGTGTGTTTTGAGTGCCCGCTGCCCGGTTCCACAATGTAAAATTTATTAAACCAAAATGATGGTCCTGGCCGTGTTCTCTGCGCAGTGAATAGTCTTTTTTTTCTTCTGCCTGCACACCATCGACTAAGGAATTGGGGGTTGGGAAAAAGGAAGAGAAGGGAGAAGGAGAGATGGAGAGAAAGAAGGAGAAAGAGGAAGAGAGATTTTTCTCAGTAGGAAGAAAACGCATATGGTGCATGTAAATTTGCTTCGTAGAAGCTATATTGCTTTTAGCTTTTTCTTGCCAATTCCGCCTTCATGCGTGTTTTTGCTTTGTCATCTATCTTTCCGGCCGTGGCGTTCATTCTTTTGAGCCTTAAGGGTGAGAAATGGAAGCAGGTGCATTTCATCCCTAACTGAGGCTTCCCGCCCTGGCGGAGTATTTCTGTGCTTGTTCCCATTGGTGTGAACATAGACACACTTCCCACACCACACCAACCCCTGTCCTTGTACACCGCAGGCACGTCCATCTGGAAGGCCTTCTTCTTCACCCCCAAGTTCAGCCCTGAGGGCGCCAATGGCTGCTTTTCCACACATGTGTGTTTCTGCTACGGGCATGCTGTCACCTACCATCGGCCGCCATTGCTCTTCGACATTTCCAAGGACCCCAGAGAGAGAAACCCACTGTCACCAGCGACGGAGCCCCAGTTCCAGGAAATCCTCGATGCCATACAGGAGGCGGTAGACCATCACACCAAGACGCTAAAGGAGGTGCCCAATCAGTTGTCACTGGGCAACATCGTCTGGAAGCCGTGGCTGCAGATGTGCTGCTCACCGTCAGGCCTGTCTTGTCATTGTGACCATGAGAAACAGGCCAGGAGTGCGAGCCACTAGCTGTGCATCCAGGGTGGCGTTGGGAGACTAGTGTGCTCTGGTGTGTCAGCCGCCATGATTCACGTAGTGCCAATAAACAAGGGGATAAGGATGAAGACATAATTACTAAATCTTAATCTGTGCAACATATAACGGGTCAAGGACCATCATCTTCACCAATAGTACATGATGCTAAGTTGTAGTTCGGCTCTTGGAAGGCAGTTATTATCGGTATTATTTAGAACACGTATTAAATGCTATTCACGATAGATATATTTTTATGCTCACAGTTCATTTCTTTCCTCGACGAGCCTGAGATACTTAAACTAGGAAGCTAGAAGCTAAAAGTGAGAGGCCCACAGATAGATATTTTTTTGTGCAGCAGACTTTGTAGGACATCCTTTGGGAACAATAGTCCCAAAATAAATCTCCCCTGAAGGAATTTCCGTTTCATAATGTATAGTATTGTATTTGGGTTTTACTAACCCTTTGGTGGATGGAAGTTCTGAAATGAAGGCTACCTCAGGGGGATCGTAGAGAAAGGAGTCCCTCCCAACGCGATCCAGAATTATCGACATGGCAGCACGTGCATGATTTGAGGGGAAGCCACTCGTAAGCAATCCATGGTCCATACAGGATACTGCAGTGTGTTTCAGGGTTGCCGGATTTCCTGATGAGACCACAGGAGTTAACATAAGCCCTTCTGTTTAGTATCCTCGTTTCCTATGGCTATGAAATTCCCATGCCTCCAGTCCTCAATGAGATAGATGTACGACTCTGTTCTAATTCTGTTTCTTCCAACACCAGTAACTAAGGGACAAGGCGTCATGAGGCCACATAGGCGATGGGTGGACAGCGACTCGGCGGAAGAAGGGTCCTGAGTCTGAGCGTCCACTGAGCAAAGAATGCCCCCGGGGGGACCAGGCTTAAGTCACTTGTCCGGACGCTGTACGTTCTCCAACAGCATCACGTGGATGCCTATCCTGGTCTCTAGAGAGGAGCTGCCGGCCGTGTGCCTACACACTCGTCTCGTTTGTGAACGAGTCTCAGCAGCATCTGCTGGCCCGGAGTTGGCTCGGCTCCAGGACAGGACAGCCACATGGAAAGACCGGACCACGCGTGGCCCAGTGGAGAGAAGGCATGCCGTCTGTGTCAGCGTTCCGACAGTGGGCTACGCTTCTCTCTACTTGTCACCCGTGAAGAACTTCCAGGATCCAGCTGTATTCCCCTAGTTCCTCTTAACATCCGTGATTTCAGACGTTAATCTTTGTTTTCCTTCTCTTCGAACCTAACCTACAAGTGATTTTTCCCCTCTCCCCGGGCGAATGGCTGAAAGTTGGCAGAAAACAGAATTCTTAACTTTTCATGTGGATCTTGTGCTCCAGAAAGTGCCGAAAATCTGTCCTTTTGCTTTGGGACCTATTAAGGAATGTTCTAGCATGTTAACAATGTGTTAGGAATATTGCCAGTGTTACTGTGTGGAAAGTGTTTAAAACCTCTGTTAGGAACTTGGGTTTTAAGCTGTTCATGTTTACACAGATGTAAATGGACTTTTAGACAACACTGGATGGCGTAGGGATGCATGTGGGAGGGTGAAGTAACTTAAAGCACTTTTATAGATTATGTGAGTACACATTTATGTACAGAGTTGTTCAGTCTGTACAATGTTAGCAGCAAATGAAGGATACATATACCTCTAGAAATAAAATGAGCTTTAACATTTTTGTCTCAAAATAAGTTCGATCACCGTTATGAATCAGGGTATTTGAAAAATCAGATTTATTCATAATAGTGATGATTCCTAGATTTCAACCACTTGCCAGCTGAAAGTTGTGGTTGGGGTGCACAGCAGGAAATTTGAATTCTTTTGTTCAGGACACACCAAGCCGACCTTCCTTAGGACATGCTTTTCTTGTGTGTTGATTTCACAAACCTGTATGAGGCTACTTGTTTTCAAAGAATCTCGGTGGCATTTCCATAAGGTTTGTATGTTCACACCTTCCTGGGCTTTGAAAGTTTAAACAAATTCTTCTGAAAGAAAATCTCTACATTCGTAGCATTTCGTAGACATGCCACGCGGAGCAAACAGTAACATCACAGAGGCCTCCTTTCCCAGCTCAGTGATGCTGTGTGGAGACCAGAATCGCAGCCTGTGTCGTGACAGATTCAGGTCTTAGGTCGCCCTGAAGGACACGCAGAGAAGAGCCGAGCAAAGATGCGGGGAACGTATCGGGTCCCCGTCTGCAGGGTGCCACCTGGGAAGTGATGGAGTCTGGTAAAGGATTCTCAGAGCCTCGTTCTAATGCCCGTGGACACTTAAAATAAAATTCTCCTTGAACGCAACCTGGTGTATGGCTCTACTGTCTCGTGTGACTCAATTCGTCCGGTCTGGGGAGGGCTTTTCTGTGCTAAGCAAAGGCAGATACAGGTTTCAATTCAACAAATACTGACTGGGTCCCAAAGCCTCCGGGAAGGGCGCAGAAATGCAGAGGAGGGTGAGGAATACAATGGCCCCTCAGATCCAGGACCAGACGGCAGGGTGAGCCATGTTACCATCACGAACACTGCCTCAGGCCTTCTCAGGGGGGTCTGTAAAAAGTGCCTTAACTTCTTGTAAAGTCAGAAACAGAAAGATAGACACTTGGGGTTGAAGGTCATGCACACACATGTAGGAACACAGTTGTGAAGTAGAATCTCAGTGTGTGTTCACAGGTTTTAGGGTCTTATGTAACATGTCATGATCTTATATTTTTTAATGTTATTTTTGAGAGAGAGAGCACAAGCAGGGGAGGAGCAGAGAGAGAGAATGTCAAGCAGACTCTGAGCTGTCAGCAGAGAGCCCGATGTGGGGCTTGAACTCATGAACCGTGAGATCATGACCTGAGCCAAAACCAAGAGTTGGATGCTCAACCTACTGAGCTACCCAGGCGCCCCTCATGTCATTATCTGAAAACATGTGTAATGTGTTTTCCCCTCAGTCGGTTAAGCCTCCGACTTCGGCTCTGGTCATGATCTCACGGCTCGTGGGTTCAGGCCCCAGATCGGGCTCTGTGCTGACAGCCAGCTCAGAGCCTGGAGCCTGTTTCAGATTCTGTGTCTCCCTCTCTCTCTGACCCTCCCCTGCTCACACTGTCTCTCTCTCTCTCTCTCTCTCAGAAATAAACATTAAAAAAATTTAATGGTAGAAGGTCCGATCTGTCTCTCAACCCTCATTACCCGCCCCATTAGCCCTCAGAGAATGTGTGATATAAGTGACCATTCCCCCTTGAACCCAGGCCCCCTCCAGGACACCAGCGATGTGCCTGAGTGTGGGACCCTCTCGCTGGCCGTCCTCAGGACTCTGTGTTGCCACAGCTCCGTCCAGCGAAGATCACTTAATACCGTTGCTTTGTTTAGGGGGCTCTCAATATAGCACTCATAATTTACTGATATGTAACAGTGTCAAATATTATGTTGAAGGGGAAGGACAGGTCAGCTCTCCTAATTAGGAGAGCTAATCAGCAGCTTGGCAAGTACCCATGAGTTCACACAAAGGGGACATTGTTCATGTAGTGACTTACCAGTTTTCTAAAAAGAAAACACCATATCGGAGACCCTCAAATGTTGGCCCTGAAAACAGTCCTACCCATGAGGTTCAAATGCTCTGACTTTGCATGATGACGCTGTTAATGCATCCCATCTTCACGGAAGCAAATTGCATGATGCTGACATACGCTTTACCCAGGAAACAAGCCATCACTGTCATATTGAAGTCTAGGGTGTAACATTGGCCTCCCGGATCATGTGAGAGCATCAGGTTTCAAACTCTGTTACCCGTGGTGGTGATTTTCTAAAAGGCAGAATTTCCACTGAATGTGTTTTATAGATAAGTGCTTTGAGTTGCCTATCAAAATCTATACTGTCTAAATTTAACACAAGGTACACAGCTGAGTACGTAAATGTACAAAGACGTGGCCGGTTCCCTAGTGGGCAGGGCATCTGGGTAGCTACATGTGAGACAGAAATGTTCTCCTGGTTCAAATGGACAATTGCGTACCTGTGGGTACCACGCAGGGTGGTATTTCCCGTTTCTCTCGTTGTCACATTGGGAACACGACACAGGTGCACAGACCTGGCCAGAAAGATCCCTGCACATCTTCTCTGCCTATGGCTACAGGCTGCACATCACCCAGGTAAGGGCTCCGAGAGGAACCCAAGGAATGAGGACCCTGTGGTGCAGATGCAAGAGCCTGGACCCTTGAGTCATGTCACCACCTGTAGCAGCTAGGGACAGCTGCTTGATCACCCGGTGACTGTGACCCAGACCAAGATCCAACTTTTATTGCCTAAGCCGCTGAGATGCGGGGGTTGTTAGAATCACAGCAGCCCGACTAATTACCCTGAATGATACAGTAGGTGGACCACACTCTATAAGCCTGACGTTTCATGATAGCTCCTTGGATTGCAAACAATTTTTGTGGTTTACTGGTGCTTGCTCGAAATAGAAGTCCCAGGTATTCATTCCTGTGTGCCCGTGTTGTTGTTTTATGTTTTAATTTTAATTTTAAAGGTTGTCAGAACACCTCACCTCTTAGATTCTTAAGTATGCAATGCAGTACTGTTAAGTGTAGGCACCCCACTGCACAGTGTAACGGGCACTTTGCACGTGCTGATTTGCAACTTCCCGTTTTCCTTCTCCCCCAGACCTTGACCACGTGCATCCTGCTGTTTGCTTCTGTGAGGTTGACTTTTAGGCTTGTACTCCTGTGACTGACTTAATTCATGTGACGTAAATTCCCTACGGTTCATCCATGTTGTTGCATTTGGTGGGATTCCTTTCCTTTTTAAGATTGAATGGTGGTAGATATTTACTTTTTTAAGGTTTTTTTTTTTTTTTTTTTTAAGAGACAGAAAGAGCAAGCAGGGGAGGAGCATAGAGAGAAGGAGAGAGGGAATCCCAAGCAGGCTCCACACTGTCAGTGCAGAGCCTGACGCGGGGTTCAAGCTCATGAACCATGAGGTCATGACCTGAGCCAAAAGCAAGAGTCAGACACTTAACTGACTGAGCCACCCAGGCACCCCTTAAGGATGGTGTATATTACTTCAAAAAAAGAAAAAAGCCACAGGAAGCAAGGAAGTAGAGAAAAGGAAACAGTTGTTACATAGGGGAATACAAAATGGTGCAGCCATTGCAGAAAACAGAATGGGGGGATTCAAAAAATAAAAACAATTACCACGTGACCCAGCAATTTCACTTGTGGGTGTTTATCCAAAAGAATTGAATTCAGGATCCTGAAGAGATATGTGCACGCCCATGTTCACCACAGCACCATTCACAATAGCCAAGGTGTGGACACGGCCTATGTCAGTGGAAGAGTGGATAAAGGAAATGCAGTATATGCAGTAATTTTGTGCAGAAGATCAACTGCATGGGGGTGGGGATCCGATAGACTCAAGTGTAAAAATATAATGAGACTACCAGCCTTTAACTGTGGCTCAGGACTGAGGATAAATTATTCTAGTGTAAAGCAAGGGAGTGAATAGGCTGGCTTCAGTCCATTACTCAACCAACAAATTGATGATGACTTTCACATTGGCCCTTCTCAAAGCTGGAGGACTAGATTTTGCTTCATTCACTATAGGAAGGTAGCAGATTTCAAAATATGTTACATATATTGACAGATGGTGGTATTTATGCTGGCAAATTTTTCCAGTATTTAAGTAATCTCTGCCCCCAATGTGCCACTCAAAGTCACCACCCTGAGATCAGAAGTCCCACTAAGCCAGCCTGGCACCCCTATAAAACACTCTGGGGGCACCTGGGTGGCTCACTCGGTTGAGCACCCATCTCTTGACTTTGGCTCGGGTCATGATCTCATGGTTCTTGAGTTCGAATCCTGCATCAGGCTCTGTGCTGACAGTGGGGAGCCTGCTTGGGATGGACTTTTCTCCCCTCTTTCTCTCGCTGTCTCTCTCTCACTCTCTCCCCGCCCATCACCTGCTCATGCTCTCTTTCTCAAAATAAATAAAAATAAAGTTATAAATAAATAAATAAAATACTCTTTGAAATCCATAAACTTTATAACCTTTTAAATACTTAAAAACATATTTCCTGTGAATATGTAAAGGACCCTGGTCACTGTGTTGTTTTAGTTTTGTTGATCAGATTTTAGTCTTAGAAAAAGATCAAAAGACAATGTAATGTTTTAAAGCCAATTTCATTCACCAGCCTTTGAAATAATGACCACATAACTCTTGTTTAATATTTATAATTCATGGGATTCAGGCATCTCATGGTTTTCTTTAAGAGCCAAATGTCTATCAACCGATGAATGCATAAAGAAGATGTGGTTTATGTATACAAGGGAATAGTACTTGGCAATGAGAAGGAATGAAATCATGCCTTTTGCAACAGTGTGGATGGAACTGGAAGGTGTTATGCTGAGTGAAATAAGTCAGGCAGAGAAGGACAGATCTCAGGTGTTCACTCCTATGTGGAGCTTGAGAAACTTAACAGAAGGCCATGGGGGAGGGGAAGGGGGTAAAGTTACAAACAGAGAGGGAGGGAGGCAAACCACAAGAGACTCTTAGGTACAGAGAACACACTGAGGGTTGAAGGTGGGGGTGGGGGTGGGGGTGGGGGGAGGGGGAAATGGGCTTTGAGGAGGACACTTGATGGGATGAGCACTGGAGGTCATATTTAATGGATGAATCACGGGAATTTACCCCCGAAACCAAGAGCACACTGCACACATTGTATGTTAGCCAACCTGACACTAAATTTTATTTTAAGAATAATAATCAAATAATAAAAATAATAAAATAAATAAATTTGGCTTCAAGTTAAAAAAAAAGTCAGGGTGGAAAACATTCCATAACCACCCAGCATCAGGACATTCTTCAGCAAGAACTGAAAGTGGTCTCTCTCAGGTTGAATAAAGGCAACGAGCAGCATAGGAAGAGTCTGGAAGAAGTGAGGGCTTCCGATAATCCAGGGAGGGCACGCATGGCATTTTATCAGCAGGAGAAACGCACTGGGCTGGTAAGTGCCGAGAGAGCGAGCGGTATCAGACAGGCCATCCGTGAGAGCTCGCATCAGGGAGACCCATTCCCAGCCATCGTATCTGGAGTGGAGACAGAGTGAGGTTCTGGAGCGCATCGCATCTCACTGCTGGGGAGGCAGAGCTGGTGCCAGGGGCCACGCCGATGGGCGGGGCTGCGATATAGGGTAATGTCGGGCTTGACTCCTTCATCTTAGGCTCCATTCCAAGTACCTTTGTGGGTTAATATACTTAATCGTCACTATTCATCTGTCAGATGATGTTGTGATGGTCCTGTTACAGATGAGGAAATAGTTACAGAGA